CCCACAGCCTTGTGGCACCCCCCACAGCCTTGTGGCACCTCCCTACAGCCCCAGGCACCCCCCACAGCCGTGGCACCCCTACAGCCTTGTGGCACCCCCCCACAGCCTTGTGGCACCCCCCACAGCCTTGTGGGCACCCCCCCACAGCCTTGTGGCACCCCCCCCCACAGCCTTGAGGCACCCCAGCCTTGTGGCACCTCCCCACAGCCTTGTGGCACCCCCCCACAGCCTTGTGGCACCCCCCACAGCCTTGTGGCACCCCTCACAGCCTTGTGGCACCCCCACAGCCTTGTGGCACCCCTACAGCCTTGTGGCACCCCCCTACAGCCTTGTGGCACCCCCCCCACAGCCTTGTGGCACCCCCCCACAGCCTTGTGGCACCCCCCACAGCCTTGTGGCACCCCCCCAGCCTTGTGGCACCCCCCACAGCCTTGTGGCACCCCCCCCACAGCCTTGTGGCACCCCCCCCACAGCCTTGTGGCACCCCCCACAGCCTTGTGGCACCCCCCACAGCCTTGTGGCACCCCACAGCCTGGCACCCCCCACAGCCTTGTGGCACCCCCCCACAGCCTTGCACACCTGTGGCACCCCCACAGCCTTGTGGCACCCCCCCACAGCCTGTGGCACCCCCCACAGCCTTGTGGCACCCCCACAGCCGGCACCCCCACAGCCTTGTGGCACCCCCCACAGCCTTGTGGCACCCCCACAGCCTTGTGGCACCCCCCCTCACAGCCTTGTGGCACCCCCACAGCCTTGGGCACCCCCCCACAGCCTTGTGGCACCCCCCCCCACAGCCCTTGTGGCACCCCCACAGCCTTGTGGCACCCCCTAGCCTTGTGGCACCCCCCTCACAGCCTTGTGGCACCCCCCCCACAGCCTTGTGGCACCCCCCACAGCCTTGTGGCACCCCCCCCCCCCACAGCCTTGTGGCACCCCCCCACAGCCCCTAGGGCACCCCCCCACAGCCTTGTGGCACCCCCCCCACAGCCTTTGTGGCACCCCCCCACAGCCTTGTGGCACTTCACAGCCTTGTGGCACCCCCCACAGCCTTGTGGCACCCCCCTACAGCCTGTGGCACCCCCCACAGCCTTGTGGCACCCCCCACAGCCTTGTGGCACCCCACAGCCTTGTGGCACCCCCCCACAGCCTTGTGGCACCCCCCTACAGCCTTGTGTAAGGTGAAGCGCAGAAGCTACAGCGTCCAACAGGGAAGCATGCTCAGTTCATGCTTGCCTTGTAGACTGTACATGTGTGAGTCCCAATGAGGCCGCGCGACCTGTGACCTCGCCAGATGTTTGTAAACGTCGCAGACATAGAACAAGCGTTTCGGAGTAGACAGTTCTACAGGTGCGGTGACTGTCTGGCCTTCCCTAACTGTGAGACCAAGTCTTACAGCCATACTGTGAACATCTTCCACCCTCAGTAGTGAACACACCAACTCACACTCCTGTCCCTGAGTTTTGTGTTAAGACAGTACTGTTGTCTCTTGGAACACCATACTGATCGACCCTCACTTGTAAGTACAGCCTACGTGGTGACGTACCCCTCAGTACTGAAATATTGTGGACTAATTAGGCCTACTCATTTCAGCCTTATCTGAAGCAATAAGACAATGTGTGTAGCGTAACTAAGATTAATAGCGTTATGAACTTTGTATTATGTCGCTATATTTAATGACCTTATGTAGTTAAGATAAAGTTGTGTGTGACTAACTAATTATGTATCAGATGGATCACCAAGTAATACTAATGAACGCCTTCTTCTTCTGCAGGTGCTGACCACGTCAATAAATGTTAAGGGCGTCAAGGTGAGTTTCAATCAGTCCCTTCCACCTGCTCGTCACCCGACCGTCCTGAACTAAGGCGGTCACAGAGAGACAGACAGACGGACAGACAGGCGGACGGACGGATGGATGGATGGATGGTGGATGGATAAAGAGAGAGAGAGAGAGAGAGAGAGAGAGAGAGAGAGAGAGAGAGAGGACCATTGCCACACACACACACGGACTCTTAAATGCAGGCTTCCTCCGCCACCATTGAGGCCCTTACAGGACGCACGCAGTTCCTCTCTGACACACACACACACACACACACACACACACACACACACACACACACACACACACACACAGAACAATGAGTTTCCATGACACACTTTTTGTATCCAATTTGTTTTATATTTAACCCAACATAACCTAACCAAACCAAACCTAACCTAACCAAACCTATCCCAACCAAACCTAACCTAACCAAACCTAACCTAACCAAATCATCATTCTGTAAGCTTCTCCAATATAATTTTAATTCTACCTTGATACGAGAAAATGTTCCTGACTCACTCAAGCTAAGACACCAATATGGCTGCCGAATTGTCCAGAGACTTTAGTAGATGTGGTTTGTTTATACTATAGAAGGTTATGGAGGGGAGGGAGAGGGGAGGAAGGGGAGAAGGAGAGGAAGAGGGAGGGAGAGGGGGGCGGGGTGGGGAGAATGCTGATGTAACAATTATGGTGGAAGGGGTGGGGAGAGAGCTGCCAACGTGTAAATAATACGACGATATTTGACAGCAGAAACATACGTACATGGGTGTGTGTGTGTGTGTGTTTGGAGTTTTTTACAGGTGTTTAAGTTCAGCTGTTCAAGGAAATCATATTACATGCTCTCAGGTACACACACACACACACACACACACACACACACACACACACACACACACACACACACACACACACACACACACATACCTTTTATTATTCTGTATTTCCAAGTTCCGGCTGGCAATCCAATGGATGAGAACGCCAGGCGGTGACGAACGCCCGCCCTGGTGTAAGATTAAACGTGTGATGTAGGATGAAAGAGAAGAGAGAGAGAGAGAGAGAGAGAGAGAGAGAGAGAGATTTTGTCCAATGAGGAACTGTGTGGGGAGAATTTTGTCCAATAGGGAAACTGTCTAGAGGAAATTTTGTCCAATAAATAACTGTCCAACGTAGTTTAGTCAAGCATGTAACAAGCTGGACACTGGGACCACAAAGCTCCAATTTAACTTAATTTAACTTAACGCAGCCAAACACTTTTAACACGCGATAGTTGTAAGTCACTTATGTAATGCTGACCAGCCTATAAGTCTCTCCCTCTCTCTCTCTCTGCTTCTCCTCCACACACACACACACACACACACACACACACACACACACACACACACACACACACACACACACACACACACCCTTGCAACACTCACGTACACGAAGCCCATATTTTACAGTCATTTTGATCACTATTTTCCTCTTAAGATATTCAATAAAAATTTTTCTTTAAAAAAACATTAATAATTTACTTACGTCTAATATATAATCAAACTAAACAAATTAATAATTACAATTTATATATATTTTTAGATGGTATTGGTGATATTTATAATTATTTGTGATTTCTTGTAATACCTACTATATTTACAGTACCTGCTTTTATTGTACCATCAAAACCGTTTTATCGGAAATTATCATGTAAATAGATAAGAAATTACCATTGCAATAAACATATTTGTCAATTAGACATAAACCTGACAGCTCTCAGTGATAACCGTGGTAACATTATGAGATGTTCTTATTACCACCATGCTATTGTACTATTCCAGATGTTACATAATACTTCCTTGAGATAAATGTCTAGTATATATCAGGTGCAGCTCAGGTTCTCAACTGGCTCAGCCATGTTATTATTATCCACTCTGTATCTGTGTTTTTTTGGATAAATAAACTTTCTATTAAATTCAATTCAAACTAAAAAAAAAGCTCTTGAGATGGCCTACCAAACCCCCAACAAACCCAACTTAGAATACTGACACAGAAAAACCCTCCTCCTCGCTGCCACGTTCACATTTCCTCATAAACAGAACTGTACAGATAAACGTTCAGTACAATATATTTCCAAGTCAACTTTCTGTACTTTCCAGTATAACTTCCAGCGGCGCAGTAAAACGAACATAACGGCAGAGGATGTTATCTTATGTGAAAACGTTGCTTGGAAAAATTTCTAATGTGTTAATGTATTCCAGGAATTTTGTTAAGTGGTGTAATATTTCCTACTCTGCTGTTGTAAGGTTAATTTCCTTGATAAAACCCTGGGCTTAACCTAACGGAATCTAACCTAACCTAACGTAACCTAACCTAACGTAACCTAACCTAAACTATCCTAACCTAACCTAACCTAACCTAACCTAACGTAACCTAACCTAAACTATCCTAACCTAACGTAATCTGACCTAACCTAACGTAACCTAACCTAAACTATCCTAACCTAACGTAATCTGACCTAACCTAACCTAACCTAACGTAATCTGACCTAACCTAACGTAACCCAACCTAAACTACCCCCCATACCCCCAAATAGCATTAGGGTGGTTAATCTTCAGGTGAAATAAGCTGGGGTGGGTATTCTTCAGGTGATCCTATAACAGAATCGTAAAGGAACAACCACAAAGTTTATTTTGAGACCTGAAAAGCTGTAATGCCTTAATTAAGCTGACAATAAGCTGATTAAGCGTAAACAATAAATGTCTGTGTGTGTGTGTGTGTGTTGATATGTATTGGGTGTGGGTATTTGTTCTCATGTATGTTTGTGTGTATGTATGTATGTATGTATGTATGTATGTATGTATGTATGTATGTGTATGTATGTATGTGTGTATGTATGTATGTATATATGCACAGGTATGTGTGTGTGTCTTAACCTGCTCGTGACCTACCCTAACCTAACTGGAATTACCTCCCTTGACCTGCTAACCTGGATGGAACTGTATGTAATAATAATAATAATAAAAAACGGTTTATTAATAGAGTTGCAGCCGGTGGCTGAAAATATACAAGCTTACATGTGATTAAGACATAATGATGTGTGTGTGTGTGTGTGTGTGTGTGTGTGTGTGTGTGTGTGTGTGTGTGCGTGTGTGTGGACCATTTAAACAGGATAAACAATAATAAAGGCGGTCATAACACTCACCCCCTGCTTCATGGTGTCGTTAGCGTGGGCCGCGACATTGGACACTACCGCTAGCGCCGTCTGGGTGTCGATGTAGTCCGGGCTGGTCTCTGGCAGGCGTTTGAGGTACTCCTCCAACAAGAGGCGGTACTGTGGGATCCTCTGCACGGGTTTGAGCATGTAGTGCTTGAGGTTGAGCTTGGTACAGCGCTCCGTGGCCTCAAAGGCCTTCACAACGCGGGAGAAGGTCGGGTTGGTCTCACAGCAGTGGTCTAGGTGGTCACACTGGCTCTGGAACTCCTTGATGTAAGCCGAGTATAGTTTAAGGAACGGTCCCTTGCGTACGATCACATCAGATATCTTCTTGTGTCTGTCCCAGTCTGCGATGCGTTCTTCTAAGTCACTCAGGATCTCCTCATTCAGATTCTGTAATTGTGGCAAATAGTTGAGTAGTCTGGCGAGGTCGTCCTCAGGGATGACGGGGCCGCCACCTCCCTCACGCCACTCTAACACAAACTTACGAAAATGAACATTTAACAGTTTGAGAACATCAACAAACACTCTCTCTGAGGTCATCACTTCCTGGGCTATAAGGAAGATCTTTCTATCACGTTTATCGTCAGAGGTTAAGTCCGGACTGGCCGTAGGGGTCATGTCAGGACTGTGGGTGAGTGGGTTAGTGTCACACAACACACCTGGCGTCATGCTGCAGCCAGAGGGGTTACTCACACTAACTTGTGGCGGCGGTAGGGAGCCTGTGTGGTCGGTCTTGGCACCGTCATGGTGGCCGTGGACACCCTCCCCCGCCTCTATTACCTCCCCTTCCTCCTCACTAACTCGAGTACCACTTGTACCATCCTTCTGAGTACCATCCAGAGTGGCAGCACTCACCTCCCCGTCCCCCCACACTGATACCCATGGTCCTGCCCTCGCCTCCCGTGAGGGGGTCGACGATATGGTCCACAGTTTCTTGACGAGCGCGGGTCCTTCCTCTATCTCCCTCTCACCCCCCTCACCACATTCCTCACTCCGCGTTACACCATCCTCACCACTCACAGCTTCAACAATTAGGTCACCACCTTCACCTTCACAATGACGATATTGGTCCAGCGTTCGATCATCATCATCAGGTGTTGGACTTTCACTCGTGTGAGCGACAGTTGGCCAACCTCGGTCCTCCTCACACTGCAGGTGTTGTGTAACAGCCTGCGTGTCTCTCCCACGTCCCCCCGTCACCGTGTTGAGGTGGGCGGGGCCTTCCTCACAGTTTCGGGTGTATAGTGAGAGGGCGCAGTTGTGTGTTAACTCAGCTAAGACTCTCACATACTGGTTGGACACCTCAGCTGGAACTCTGTGAGAGATGAGACAACTTTTGTCTCCATCAGTGACGGTGTCCTCCTCCTCAGAGAGATCTTCCCTGGAGAGGACGAGCCCCATGTTAGAGTCGTGGTTGCGGGCGGCAGAGGCTCTCTCTCTGTACGCCGGTGACTCGCACAGTGAAGCGGGGATGACTAACACTCCCAGATGAGTCTTACTCCGCCTGTGGCCAGCGTCACTCTGACTCACGGGTTGTTGTTCACTGGAGGTACAGCTGTCCGTCCCCCACACTCCTAGTCGCGGCACGCGCGATACTAACTCCTCTACATTACTTTGATCTGTGCGGGTACTGTTACTGTCCGTGTGGGCGTGTTGACAGTCTGTGTGGGCGTGAGTACTGTCAGTATGGGCGTGGTTGTGAGGGTGGTCGACGAGCGTGTTAGCGTGAGGGAGGTCAATGTAAAACTGACTTTGTCGTCCGTCACCACTAGCTTTCCGGTGCTGCTGTAATGTCGCAATGGCTCTCTGTTTATTGGTCTTTCCGAGTGAACCAAATATCGCAGCCAGGGATCTTCTCCCGCTGAAGGAGGAGGAGTTGTTCTCACTCTCCTGGGTCATGATACTGTCACTGGTGTCGCTCCACGTCGTCGAGGACCTCTCGTCCCAGGAGCCACGACGACGCTCCCCCTTCACCTCCTCCTCCAAGACTGTTTCATTGTTGTGGTGTGGCGGCGGCCAGGAGGCCACACCTACACCACCTCCGGTAACTTGTAGGTGTGCGGACATGCAGCTCCTGGCTTTATACTGTTGTCTTCGTCCCCGCTGGCGCTGTCTGAGTGCTGACACATCGCCAGGCGACGCGTAAAACGCCCGCACCTCTCTCCTGCCCTGCGTCACTCAGCTGATCCTACTTTTTGCTGTTTGTGTCAGGTAATCACAACACAACACACTTTCACCAAACAACTAAGTCACTACAAAGCACTAACGCACTGCACTCGTTACTAAGCACTAACGTACACTTCCTAGACTCACTAGTGTAGCCTCTACACACCAACACCCGTCTGCTGGCAGTGTTTACACCGCTACTGAACACTAACCCACTCGTGAACGCACCCACGCTTTCACTAACCACTACTACACTCACGTCTACACCTAGGCGGCCACACAACACACACACACTCTTACTACACGCACCGCAGAGGTCGCTGGGGTGTGTGGTGGACGGGTGAGGTGCGTCGTGGTGATTGGTGATGGTGGTAGGGGCGGCGGAGCTCTCCTGGAGATTGAGTAGTCCCTCGTGGGCGGCCGCGGGAGGTCCCTGTTCTATACTGGTAGATGGGTGGTGGTGGTGGGTGGAGGTGCAGGGATTACTAGTGGGCGGAGTGGGTGTGTTAGACTGTGTTACGGTGGGCGTGGCTTCGGATGCTGGGGCGTGGTCACTGATGGGGTGGGTGAGCACGTTAGAGGGTGTTAAACTAGTAGGCAGGGCTTCAGAATCAAAACAAACAGTGGGCGGGGCTTCAGAATCAAAACAAACAGTGGGCGGGGCTTCAGAATCAAAACAAACAGTGGGCGGGGCTTCAGAATCAAAACAAACAGTGGGCGGGGCTTCAGAATCAAAACAAACAGTGGGCGGGGCTTTAAACGTAAGGGGGGGAGGTGAAGGGGTCAAGTCACTAGAAAGGCTAAATGCTGATGGGAAATTAACAAACACACTCTCCAGGGTACAGCGAATACCTTCAAGACGGGTGGCTATGTCCGCTACACCCGCCTCCAGGCCCAAGGTCGTCTGCTCTTCTTCAGCGACCCCTTCAGAACACGTCTCTCCCTCCTTGGCTCCTGGTAAACTCTTCGTCTTACTTATGTGACTTTCCGTGAATTCCTCCTGTGGTTTTGACTTCTTGTCCTTGATGGCTTCTACTTGATATAACGTCTCGTAAACAGTTTTGCCTCTTGGCTTCGGGGTCTTGAATTCCTCAGCTTCAACTTTGACTTTTTTTGTCTCTCCTGATGCCTGTGGTGCACTGTCGGCGTCCACAGTCTGGGTTTTGTCTTCACCAACACTCACGGTCGTTTGAAATACTGTTTTGCCTTCCTCAAATTTCAAGGATGTCTCCGGTACCGTTTGAATTTTCTCCGGATCTGTTACTTTGGCTTCCTCTTGTTTCAGGGGTGTCTGGAGGATATCTTCGCTTTCTCCAGATTCAATTTTGACTTCCTCGGTGCTGTCTTTGGCTTCACCAATTTTCACAGAGGTTTCAATTCGTGTCTTCCCCTCGTCAAATTTCACTGCAGTCTTCTCAATAGTTTTTACTTTTTCTGGATCTTTTGGGGATTCCACAACCTTAGCTGTTGCCTGAGATTTACCTTTAACTTCTTCTGCCTCAGGCTTGGCTTCCTCAGTACTTTCAAAGATACTTTTGACTTCCTCTTTATTCCCAGCGTCACTTTTGACTTCCAGGCCCAACTCTTCCTCGGGTTTGAATTCCCCAACTTTTACACTAGTCTCAAATAGGGTCTTTCCCTCGTCAAATTTAATATCTGTTACCAAGACCGTTTTGACTTCTTCTGGGTCCAATACCTTGACTTCCCCAGCTATCACAGTCTCTTGAGAAACGTCTTTAACTTCACCAGACTCAGTTTCATCAGTCCTCACATCTGCTTTTGTTGATATTACTTTGAATTCATCAATTGTCACGCTTGCTTCTGGTGTTGCTTTGAATTCCTCGGTGCTGTCTTTGGCTTCATCAATTTTTACTGATGTCTCGAAAACGGTTATTCCTTCCTGGAATTTAACTGCTGTCTCTGGAACAGTTTTGAGTTCAACAGGATCGACAATTTTGACTTCCTCCCGGTCTTTGGATTTGTCAGGCTCCTCTGTGGCTACTGAACCAGCCTCTTGCTTTTCTGACTGGGTTTTGAATTCTTCTGTATTTTTAGGAACAGTTTTGACTTCATCAGATTTGAATTCTTCTCCAACTTTAACTGTAGTCTCAAAAAGAGTCTTCCCTTCTTGGAATTTCAATGATGTCTCAGGAACAGTTTTGACTTCCACGGGGTCAGTTACTTTGACTTCCACAGTTTTGGGTCGTGTAGATTGGCTCTTGATCTCCTCTGTTAAAGCCTTGGCTTCCTCTGTTTCAGCCTTGACTTCCTCTGTTACAGCTTTGACTTCCTCTGTTTCAGGCTTGACTTCCTCTGTTTCAGTCTTGACTTCTACTGTTTCAGCCTTGACTTCTACTGTTTCAGCCTTGACTTCTACTGTTCCAGGCTTGACTTCTACTGTTTCAGGCTTGACTTCCTCTGTATCGGCCTTGACTTCCTCTTGTTTCACTTCAGCTTGTGATAGAGAAGCCTTCACATCATCTGTTCCCTGTGGAATAGAGGGTTTGACTTCCACCTCCTCCGATTTGACTTCCCCGACTTTTACAGAAGTTTCATATAATGTTTTCCCTTCTTCGAACTTCAATGAAATCTCTGGGGAAGTTTTTACTTTCTCAGGCTCGGGTTTGACTTCTTTGACTTTTACAGACGTCTGAGGTTTAGTTTTTACTTCCTCCTCGACTTTCACTGACGTCTCTGGAATGCCCTTGGCTTCATCAGATTCAGTTTTGACTTCAGCTGTCTCTACACTCGTCTCTGAGACAATTTTGACTTCCTTTGTAATGTCCTTGGATTCCCCGATTCTTACAGACGTTTCAAACAATGCCTTACCTTCTTGGAATTTTAATGCAGTCTCGGGAACCGTTTTGACTTTTATGGGATCTTTATTGGCTTCTTCGTCTTTCGATTTTGGCTTCACGATACCTTCAACACTTTCTGATTCAGTTTTGACTTCTGTTCTTTTCACAGCACTTTTAACTACTTCTGGTTCTTCCACAGTACTTTTGACTTCCTCTGGCACTTCCACTGCACTTTTGACCTCCTCTGGCACTTCCACAGCACTTTTGACTTCCCCTGGCACTTCCACCGCACTTTTGACTTCCTCTGGCACTTCCACTGCACTTTTGACTTCCCCTGGCACTTCCACCGCACTTTTGACTTCCTCTGGCACTTCCACAGTACTTTTGACCTCCTCTGGCACTTTCACGGCACTTTTAACTTCCTCTGAGTCTTTCACAACACTTTTGACTTCTCCCGCGTCACTTTTGGATTCACCGACCTTCACACTCGACTGCGATAGAGGTCTGTCTCTCCCTGTCTCAGCCGACTCGTCTCCTATCGTCACTGCCGTTTCATACAGTGTCTTTCCTCCCTCGCCAAATTTCACTGCAGTCTGTGGCACGATTCTCACTTTCTCTGGCTCAGTTTTCGCTCTCTCTACTATCACTGTCGACTCTGGTCCCTCGCCTTTCTCCAATACTGTTATCACTGTTTTAACGGTTGGGGAAGCCGTTTCTGTTAATGTTTGTACCGTTGGGGTGCTTGACGTGGCTGTGATGACTGTTGGTGATGCTGTGGTTAGGGTGGGAATACCTGTTGACGCTACTGTAGAAGGCGATGACGTAGTAGTGAAGGAGGAGGAGGAGACGGTATCGGGAGGCGGAGGATTTTGCTTTAAGTTTTCATCAGTGGTGGGAGGAGCTGTGGTGTCCTTGGTTCCTACACGACAGGGGGAGGACCTCGAATAGGTCTGTAAGGACTTTAATACCGTGTCTAGTGCCGCGAAAGAGGACTCAATCGTTCTCAAATTATTGTCTATGTCCGATTCGAGATTACCACTCGTAGTACCTGCTCCCGCGAGCGTTGAGGGACGACTGGCTGGGTGAACAAGGTGCCCAATCTGATCATGTTGTTGTTCAGCTACCTCACGCCTGCCAACACCGTCCACATGTTGGTACCCCTGCTGCCTTGACTCACGGGGTGCATCAGGGCCTGTGAGTACTTGCTGATGCTGGTCCTGTTTCATTCTCTCCTCGTGTCGCTGTTGTATCTTGCCCTTCTTGGGTGGGGGAGGGGGTGGGGGGAGGGGGCGTGAACGTGAACGGGCAATAGGTCGTGGACGACCCTCGTTCAGAGTGACATTCTCGTAGTTCTCGAAATCGTTGGTGAAGGTCACCTCACAGGGCTGCGAGGCGTTCACCGTCAGCGTCGCTGTCACCGCCTGTTCTTCGCCATCGTCGTCGTCTCGGCCGTGTTTGTGCTTCTTGCGTCGTCGAGGCGGGTGGCTGCGGTGGTGTTGGTAGGCGTTTCTGGAGGGCTTGGCGGGGGCGGCGTCCGCCAGGCGTTCCTTCACCTGGGAGCTGGAGACCACATCCTCGATACGCACCACCTTGGAGTGTCTTTTAGGGGCCGCCGGGGTCACGACCTCCACGGTGGCGTAAACCTTAGTGCCCCTCACCGGCCGCTGGGGTTCTAACACTTCCCCGTTCACCATTAAGGATTTTCGGGCCCTGGGAGGCTTGAGGTGCCGCGGGGGTCGTGGGGGGTCGTTGGGGTCCACCAGGTTAGGGGATATGGTCCTCAGGCCCTTTTTCTTGGGGGGGATGGGAGGGGGAGGCTCGTCATCCTCGCTGTTGGCCAGCGGGCGCAGCTCCTTACTGCCGCTGTACTTCAGGACCCGAGCATAGGGCGGCACTGTCTCCCCACCTTCTGTCGGTGCCTCTCGCGTGCTGTCAACGTCCATAGCTGTCACTTGAGTCGTGGCCACTTCTGTCGTCCTTTCCGTCGCAGCATCTTCCTTTACAGCCTTCGTCGGCGTCTCCTGCGTGGTGTCCACCTCCGTCTTCTCCCCTGAGATCGTCACAACTGTCTCCTCACCCCCAGCCTCCACAACAGCTGCTCCTTCCTTTGTTACTTCTACACCCGCCATCTCTACTGCTTCAGCCTTCACTGTTTCTGCTTCAGCCGTGACGGCTTCCGTCACCTCACTGTCGTGCTTCACTGAGTCATCCTTGAGCTGGAGGGAGACATCACTCACAAGACCCTGACCACTCTCCTGGTGGCGCTCTATGAGGACGGCGGCATAAACCTTGTTACCTCTCGAGGGACGCGCCGGCTCCACCACCTCCTCGGGTGCTTTGGCGGCCTCTTGAGTGGTGTCCTCCTGGGCGGTGTCCTCCTGAGTGGTGTCCTCCTGATAAGACTCCTCGGAGACCGTTTGTTCCATGTTGGTCTCGAAGGTGTACTCCGTCGGGGCCTGACGACGCAACTCCACGGTCTCATACACTTTCACGCCGCGCCGAGGACGAGGTGGCTCCTCCACCTCCACGTCTGGTTGTTTCTCTGTACCTCCAGCTTCAGGTGGTTCTTCTTGTTGAACAGCTGCTTCTTGCTCTTCAATCTCACTCTGGACAGCAACTTCCTCGTGTTGTTGCTGTACCTCCACCTGTACAGCCTCCTCTTGCTGTACCTCCTCCTGTACAGCTTCCTCTGCCTGCTGCTGCTGTTCGTCCTCCTGGTCAGCGTCAGGGGAGGTAAGAATCAGCTGCTGTCGACGTATGAGTATCTCCTCGTACAGCTTCACACCTCGGCGGGGCTTAATGGGCTCCTCGTACGGCACCTGTGGTGAGGCCTCCTGAAGGTCCTGCTGCTGCACGTCGGCGTCTGAGGTCTTAACCTCAATGTTGTCATACACCTTGTTGCCTCGTGGAGGTCGTGGAGGCTGGAGGGCCTGAGGGATGATGTAGTCCTCCTCCTCCTCGGTGGCTACGATGATCTCACTCTCCAGGGCTGCCAGGCGGGCCAAGTCCATATCATCCGGGACGTCCACCTGTTGTTGACTAGACCGTCCAACAGCCACGGGCGTCCCTGTGCGCTTCTGCCGCCGCCCTCTAAACCTCTCCCTCCCACGCCCGTGTCCAGAGTGATCCTCTTCAGGGACATCAACCGGGGCCGTCACTTCCGGCTGGGGGATGACATCATCTTCAGAGACTTCGTGTGTGGGTTCAGGTTGGGGGAAATTATCGTAATCACTCTCGGCAGAGGGCCGACGCTGGTGGGTCCTGGGTGGGGGTGGGGTCGGGGGGGTGGGTAAGGGCTGAGCCTCGGGGATTGACTTGGGCCTCCCGGTGTAGGCCAGGACGGGGTACAGCTCCTCCTCCTTCTCGTCATCCATGAAGGTGATGTCATCGTAGACCTTGACCCAGGTACGACCTACGGGGCCCTGGCGACGACTTGGCTTACTGGGGTTGTCCTGCCCTTTCTTCCCCCTGTCGCCGCGACTCAACATTTTCCGCAGCTGTGGCGGCAACGACGGGGCCTTAGGCATAGGTGGCAGATGTGGCATAGACGGCATCTGCGGCATAGACGGCATATGCGGCAGAGACGGCATATGCGGCATAGACGGCATAGATGGCAGATGCGGCATTGAAGGAAGCTGCGGGAACCGATCACGGGATATTCCCCTAAAAGATCTCCTCTTATCCCGAGCTGGCGATGCTGAGGCCGCCCGCTTCTTCCCCACACCCTTCACCTTGGGCTTCGGGGAGTCGGGCACGGGCGGGCGCTCGTCGATGTTCGGAGTTGGGGGCGGCGTCGGGGCGGCCTGTGAAGCGTCCTCGGAAGATGATGGACGGCGGGCGCGGTGAGGCAGAGAACCTGTCTTACCGGACCGTGTGAAGGCTGGCAGGATTCCAACCCGCATCATGCCGCCACCACCGCGACCCCATACCTTAAAAAACACAATGGTATTAGCACCATCAACCATAACCTAACCTACCATAACCTACCATAAACCCACCACAATCAACCACAACCTAACCTACCATAACCTAACCTACCATAACCAAACCTAACCTAATCTAATCTAACCAAACCTAATTCAATCTAAGCTAACCTAGAAGACAATGGTATTAGCACCATCATGATCTACCATTAACCTACCATAATATAACCTAAACTAACCATTGAGTACCATTCACAAAATACCATTGAAAGTTACCATGATTTACTCTAAGTCTACTACTACTATTACTATTACTACTACTACTTCTACTACTACTACTACTACTACTACTACTTCTACTACTACTACTACTACTACTACTTCTACTACTACTACTACAGATTACAATATAATAATAAGATTTACGACACACACACCATTAAACCTTGCAAAACTCTCTCTCTCTCTCTCTCTCTCTCTCTCTCTCTCTCTCTCTCTCTCTCTCTCTCTCTCTCTCTCACCTGTCCAGCCAACTTGGACACGTTCAGACATCCATCCTTTCCCTCCTCGGCCTCGGGTTTGGCCTCTCCCCTGGTGGAGGTGCTCTCGTCGAGGTCATCCTCCAACGACACGTCCTCGTCTTCGGGTCGTTCTCGAGTCGTCGGTCGTCCTCGAGGTTCGTTCTCTTTGCCACGAGACACAGAGCGAGATTGACCTGAGGGGGGCTTGTCTCCTGACCCCCTCCCTGTTACGCTGCTCCTGTGTGTGAGAGATGTGAGTTAGTTTTATTTTATCACACACACACACACACACACACACACACACACACACACACACAGTCAACGAACCTACCAATCATGTCTGTTTCTCATGTGTGAGAGACGGAGGGAGGGAGACAGACAGACAGACAGACAGACAGACAGAGAAACCACACAATAGCTCCTCCCCCAACCATGATAATGTCGTCATGTGAGCAGAGAGAGACAGTCATCACACACACACACACACACACACACACACACATCTCATGTACACCACAATACGTACTGTATATGACTCACCCGTAAACAAGAATACATCCATAACTCACCCGTACACGAGGATACGCACATGAGTCACCCGTACACTTGAATACGCACATGAGTCACCCGTACACTGGAATACGCACATGAATCACCCGTACACTGGGATATGCGCATGACTCACCTGTACACATAAATACGCACATGAAACATACCAACAGTAAAAAAATTTAAGTTGTGAACCTTTGAGAATCCATCATTGTGTCGTAGCTTAAGTGAGTCAGTTAGATACCAACTTATATTTGTATTTAATTGAATAAAATACAAGGCATTAGATTAGGTTTGGTTAGGTTAGTGTTAGAATAGTATTAGGTTACGTTGGTATCAAGTTAGGTTAGTATTAAAGGTTGCCTGGTTAGGTTAAGGTTAGGTTAGGTTAGTGTTAGAATAGTATTAGGTTAAATTGGTGTCAGGTTAGGTAAGGTTTAAGGGTGTTTAATCTTCAGGTGATATAACTCGTGAGCGCCTAATCATCAGGTGACCAATAAACTGAGCAGTGTCGTCATAAGCACAGGTGTAAAAAAGTCGTTTTTGTGTTAATTACGAGAGGAACACCTGTGTCTGCGGTGCGTTCTAACGGTGTTGAGCCTCAAGGTCAGCTACCAGTGTGTTCTAGCGCGCGCCTCACCCTAACAAACCTGCCAAATGTTCACCTGGACGAAATACCCAGTGTCCACCTCGATAATTACCTATGGACGAAATGACACCTACTGGACGAAATGACACGTGGATAATTATCTTCTGGACAAAATGCCTATTAGATTTGGTTAGGTTAGGTTATGGACCAAATACAAACACACACACTCACCATCATCCCCATTACTAAGCTTATACACATCTTGATCCACCCAATACTAGTCCAGTTGTCTCTTGAGGAACATGGCGGCACCTGAAGCTCTGTATGGTCACTACAATGGGCGGGGGTCTGAGAGGGGGGGGCTGGGAGGAGGCAGGGGGACTGGGAGGGAGGGCTGGGAGGGAGGCAGGGGGACTGGGGGGCTGCAGGGGGCGGAAATAAACTCAGATATAGTACTGGTAAAGCCCAACATATATCCTTGCTTCCTGTTTCCGAGTGAACATCCTCTGCACTCCACTCCACTATACTACACTATTAAGTAATAATGGTTGTCTCTCCTGTAACGAGGATGGCCGACCCAAGGGCCTCCTAGGTGTTAATTTGTTTAAGGTGTAGAAGCTGTCGCCAACACAACAACCACACCCTGAGTTAACGAGCTGCATGACCCAGTGTCCGAGAAGACCGGACAACTCGCCAACTGCACTGGCTAACCATTACCCCGGAATACGATTAACATCCAGGTCCCCAATTACTGCTGGGTAGACAGAGGCAAATGGCGGAAAGAAACTTGCCCATAGTTTCACCCTGCCTGGGGATCAAACCCGGGTCCACTCACTTGCGAGGCGAGCATGCTGACCACTACACCACAGATCAAGGAGGGGTACAGCACACACAGGTTAACTCCACAACTACATAACCCTGCCCTACAAAACACTAAACTACTATTTCCGGGGTAGGATGTAGAGACTGGTGAGGGGTCAGCATATTCGTTCCCTCACACGGCCACCAGAGGGAGGAAGTTCCGCCATTCTACCACCACAACAAAGACTGAACCACTTAATTACACCGTCCCCCGTACCCTAATAGGACTCTCCCATACACGAACGAGGCCAAGGTAATCCGGATGAATCCTCTTTGACGTCACACTCACACCTGATTTCCTCTATGACGTCATATCTGAATTCACTATGGTAGCACACCTGAATATTATGACGTCACAATAGGGGTTAGGTTAGGTTAGATTGGGTTAGGTTAGGATAGGGGATTATATTGGGTTGGGTTAGCGGGTTATGTTAGGTTATGTTAAGTTAGGTTAGGTTGGGATGGGTTAGGTTAGGTTGGGATAGGTTGGGTTAGGTTAGGTTAGAGATGTATATACTCTTTCTAGTTATGAATAACAATGGATCCACTTCCGGTACAGTCAGAGTGCGGTTTGGAAGCCATTACGGCCACTCCAGTACCGGATGTTGACCCCTGAGTCTTCCCTTGTCAGTTAGGTTAAAACAGAAGAATATTATCCAGACGTGGTGACACACACACACACACACACACACACACACACACACACACACACACACACACACACACACACACACACACACACCAAAATAGCCCCGACCATGATCTCAGCCGCCAAGATGGCCGCCAGTGCCAGCATAACCCAGCACTTACTTCCTTGTTGTGACCTTACGACAACCGACACTCTTAAAATATCTCCCCAGACCCCATGTGTTGTGTTCTGACCTCACGACAAACCCAAGTATAATTACACAAAGATATCCTAGTTTAATTATATCCACACACACACACACACACACACACACACACGGGGGGGATTAATTAAGTATATCTGAATTATTTAATCACAGGAAATTGTTTGACACTGAATCCTGGCTTATACATGTTATCTATCTGTCTATCTATCTATTTAATTTATCTATCTATCTATCTATCTATCTATCTATCCATCTATCTATCTATTTTATTCATCCAACTCTCTATCTATCAAACAATCTTATCTATCTATCAATCTATTGCCATAACCTCAGTCAAGTCAATAATGTTGTTTTGTTTATATCTGTATTTTTCTGGCTAAATAAACAAGTTCAAACAATCAATCAACCAGTCACTCAACCAATCAGTCAATCAATCAACCAGTCACTCAACCAGTTCAACCAGTCAACCAATCAATCAACCAGTCAACCAATCAATCAACCAGTCAACCAATCAATCAACCAGTCACCAATCAATCAACCAGTCAACCAATCAATCAACCAGTCAACCAATCAATCAACCAGTCAACCAATCAATCAACCAGTCAACCAATCAACCAGTCAACCAATCAATCAACCAGTCAACCAATCAATCAACCAGTCAACCAATCAATCAACCAGTCACTCAACCAGTTCAACCAACCAATCAATCAACCAGTCAACCAATCAATCAACCAATTAACCATACATATTATGATTATGATTAGCTGTCTGTCTTCATGGCGTTAGAGGCGAACGCTAGAATGCAGGACAGAATTAGCAATAATAATAATAATAATAATAATAATAATAATAATAATAATAATAATAATAATAATTAACTCGGATCCCGGACAAAATTAGCAATAAAGATAAAATTATTCCCACACAAAAACGCTCGATGATAAAGGATTTGAGATATTGAGTTAGTTGAGTGAGGAGACGATTATGAGGAGTTAATGTTGGTACTGTGTGTTAAGGAATGTCTCGATGCATTTCAGTTCCTCCTGGCCATCATCCAACACACACACACACGCTAGACTGCATCAACATGTGTGCGGTACAGTACTCTTGCTACTAACCTAACTTAACCTGATGCTCACTTAACTTAACATAAGGCCAACCTAACCTAATACTAACCTAACCCAATACTAACCTAAGCTAATCTAACCTAACCTAACCCAATGTTAATTTAAACTAACATGATGAAAACCATAACCTAACCTAACCTGATGTTTAACCTAACCCAACCTGGCTTACCTAATCTAATCTAACCTAACCACATGCTATTGCTAACTTAACCTAACCTAACTCTAAACTAATCTACCCAATGCGAATTATTTACTATCAGAAAATTTAACATCTGAATTTGGTGTTCTATTCATTAATACACCAAAGGAATTACTTCATAAAACAGTAAAGTATTATTATAAAAAAATGCGGTATAATACGATATCTTCAAGCCAATATAATTTTTTTAAAGAATATATTATACCCCAAAAATCATATGGTTCCTGTAATATTGGAACCACAGCACCTCGTCATCATCACTTCATTTTCTTTTAAAATCGTCGTATTTTTAACATTTCTCAAACTACGTCTCCTCCATCATAATATTTTGAGCATTATAGTTAACTTAAATAAATTCAAACATATCAATGTATACAAATTAATTAAAGACTCGCTTATATAATTTATCCTTTTAATAAACTATAAAGTATGTTTATTAGAGTACAGTAACTAAAGCCGTTCATGTCATAGAGCCGGTACAAGTGATCACGGACACGTTCGTGCCCTTGTGAGAGTTTGAACGCTCGGGACAGCGTACAGCGAATGAGGGTGCGGCAAGTCCGTAGACTTGCATGGTTAATTAGGGTGCGGCAAGTCCATAGACTCGAATGGTTAATTAGGGTGCGGCAAGTCCGTAGACTTGAATCGTTTTCCATCGTAAATATAATTGTTAATTAATGCCTTCCTAAAGAAACCATCGACATGGGACCAGGTTTATTCCACTCTACGAATTTTTTGTGATTTTTCCACCAAGTTTGATGAAAAACGATTGTGCCGTTTCGGCTGCCCAGAACAGACACACACACACACACACACACACAAACAGACACACGCCTAGTCCTATAGTATATTATATTATATATTTCGCTTATTTAAGGCCATAATTATGCACTAAAGCCATATATTTGTTCCTCCAGTTCCTCTGTTATTCTAAAATGCCAAACAAATCATAATTAATCGCCATTTCAAGAAAAATTAATAATGCTTACGTTACCAGGCCTCGTGTGAGCCATTTGTTTATATTCCTGGGAGCATTGTTATAAAATCACCACGAACAGAACTACAGTATTTATGAATCATCTTTTTTTAATCAAACTACCCAAACCTAATCTAACCTAATCGAATTTCAATTTTGTAATTTTATAGAAGTTTTTAGTTTAATTAGATTTAGTTGGTTTATCTTTAAAAAAATCATTTATAATGTTTGGTCTCGTTAGTGGGATTTCTTTTATATTAGACGTACCTATTGGCTTTTTTCACCATTGTCTTGTAAACTTTCTAGCATTCATATTTATTTATTGTTGATTCACAAGTGTAGTTAAATTCCTCATGTTTTAATTACAATAATCCTCACTCTTTTAGTCTCGTTTTGTTGATATTACAAAGTTTAGTTAAATTAGCCAGACGAAGTCATCTTTCGCCAGACCTCATACCTGTTGTCTATGTATAGTGTATGACAACAGGGAACCAGATGATGTCAATCACATACTTGAGAGCGCCATTAAGGGGACGTCTGGCATTATGGCGCCTTTGACAATATTCCAAGTAATAATTTGTGTTAGTGTTCGCTTGCTTGGACTATTGCTTGGACACCCTCCAACTTGTCACTGGATAGCATTAATAGCCAGTATAATTTATTCTTGCATGTTTTCTCAATTCTGATTGGCTAGAAATCCGATAAGAAATTAATTAATTCACATTTAAGACGATCCTATTTACTCCTGCATGGCTCTTACAACCAATGAAATCTTTCCCTATTGCTATTCTCACGTCTGATTGGCTGGAAATCCGACAGGTAAGATACCATCACCACCAATTTGACACTGGCTAGCCAGTGAAATTTATTGCTGCAAATACTCTCAGTTTTGATTTGCAAAAAATCCGACAAGTGCTTGACTCACATGACTCACCAACTTGTCATTGGATAACTCCCCAAACCAATGAGATTAATTCAAACGGCAATATTCAGTTCTGATTGGTAGAAAATTCACACAAATAAATTCACATCACTTAACAAAAACGCACCCATTTATATTTAAAATATTAGGTACTAAATATTGTAATACGAAAAGCCGTTAGATGTTATTGAAAGGTTTAAGGGATAAATAACAATAGATAGATGTTATTAGACGAAAACAACAATAACAACAACAAAGAACATGCAGAGACTGGACAACACGACACAAGAAAAGACAATTGACTCAACTCTTACCAAAAGGAGGACATATTGATGATCTTACATCCCCGGGAAACTGATTATTCTTTTAGTTTTGTCCACCACGCCCACTCCACGCCCACCACCACACGACACGTCAGGGCGCGGGTTTAAGTGACGTTGATGGTTTATAAAGTTATCCTAAACCACAACGCCTCAACGCCACTGTTTTATCGCGTTTATCGGTTTGGTTTAGCGTCGTTTAAAGTCCTTCACACACCGAGGTCTTACAACGCAGGATTATTCGATGAGGGATTTTTATATTTTTCAACGCAGGATTTCTTCAGGGAGGGATTTCTTTAGCGTGGGATTACTTCAAAGCGGGGATCTCAAATGCAGGATTCCTTTAATATAATATTTTTCAACACCGCCAGAGTCCTACACTACCATGGTTCTTCAGTTCACTTTCCTTCACCTCCTGGGCAATCCTATGACTCCTTCCTTCGTTACCAGCATCCTAGAACACCGGAGTCCTATATCAGAGGTGAGTGTAGGATATCTTTCGAGAATCTTACAGTAAGAGAATAACTCCTTCAAGAATCCTACACCAAGGAGTTCCCGGATCCTTCGCTACGATGATTGAGGGGTCCTTCAGCGCTGTCCTACCACAATTATGGCCGGTGGTAGTTGTTGTAGTGGTGGTGGTGGTGGTGGTGGTGGTGGTAGGTGGAGATATGCCGGTAGTTTTAGAGGAGTTGCAAAAGACGTCCTGATATCCTAGTCTTCTCGTGATTATCCTTCACTCCTAGAGACATGAGGAAGGATCTTGAGGATATCCCGCTGTCTTGGGAGGATTTTTTGAGGTGCCAGAGGAGGTGTTGGAGGTAGTGTTGGCCTCCGATGATGGCTGTAGGTACTGGCACGGGGCCCGATGGTTAGTGCCTGGGTATTTCATCCATGTGGGCCGCCGCGTTGCTGCCCCCGGGGGTATTTCTGTACCACCCCGAACCTACACTGTGCTCTCTCTCTCTCTCTCTCTCTCTCTCTCTCTCTCTCTCTCTCTCTCTCACAGACACCAGGTGCACACGAAGACACCTACACACACACCCCAGACTCACACACAGATGCACACAAAGATACATGCACATAAAAACACACACACAGCCACACAGAAGACAGACACATGCACACACAGACATAAATAGTTTCACATACAACACACACAGCCACACAGACATGGGTATACACTAACACACACACACACACACACACACACACACACAAGTAGCAAGTGTGTGTGTGTGTGTGTGTGTGTTACAGCTGGTTTTATTTATATTACAAAAACACTTAATTCCTTCTGTCGTTCCCTTGTTAAATAGTGTTTGTTGATTGTTTAGTTAGCGAGTAAAATAACAAGTAAAGTTAGTGTCGTTGTTTTGTGTTTGTAAGTTGAGGATATAACAAGTATATGTGGGTATATTTGTACTTGTTGTCTTAGCACTTTACTGGTACTTTAAACACACAAGGAATCTTTTATCTATCTATTCGCCAGTCCGTCAATCCGCCTCTCTCTGTATGTATGTATATATGTATGCATGTATGTGTGAATGCATGTACGATGTATATATGTATGTATGTATGTATGTATGTGAAACTATGGGCAAGTTTCTTTACGCCATTTGCCTCTGTCTACCCAGCAGTAATTGGGAACCTGGATGTTAAACGATTTGCGAATCGTGTTCCGGGGTAATGGTTAGCCGGTGCAGTTGGTGAGTTGTCCGGTCTTCTCGGACTATTCCTTGACACTGGGTCATGCAGCTCGTTAACTCAGGGTGTGGTTGTTGTGTTGGTGACAGCTTCTACACCTTAAACACTGGGTCATGCAGCTCGTTAACTCAGGGTGTGGTTGTTGTGTTGGCGACAGCTTCTACACCTTAAACAAATTCACGCCTAGGAGGCCCTTGGGCCGGCCATCCTCGTTACAGGAGGGGCAACCATTATTACTTATTATGAATGTATGTACGATGTAACAAAGTATGTATGTATGTATGTATGTATGTATGTATGTATGTATGTATGTATGTATGTATGTATGACGTCAGCTACCTTGGGATGTGTGAACATTATCTTACGACACAATAGCACATCCCAGTGTGACGAATGAAACGAATACTTGAACAGATATAAGTGTGGTAAGTGGATCCTGGTGGGTGTATATGTGTTATGTTGGGTTTGGTGCTGTTATGTGGTAGTATGTTGGGTTCGATGCTGTTATGTGGTAGTATGTTGGGGCCTATGCTTGAATATACCTCGTTGTTTGTAGAAATTTGCTGTGGTATACTCAAAATCAACCCACAGTATGATTGTGGGTATGAGGCGGCGTACAGCAAGGTAGTAGTAGTATATTGGGTCCGACGCTGTTTTATAATATACTTTCCGATATACTTAACAGTGTATACCCTTAGATATATCTCCTTGTAGATGAGAATATATACTCAAAATCATCCTGGAATTTAGTTAGACGGTTACTATGAATAATTAAACACTTGTTCCCATTATACATAAATAATTGCAAATTGACGTCACCTAAGCAAGTCAGAACGTAAAGAGGAAAATACCTGAAGGATGGAATTGACGGACTTGAGTTAAAGAGGACATTGAAGGAGGACTCAGGATTGGTCAGACAATCAACCAATCAAGGTGACATAGTCATGTCTGTGGGTGACCATGACCCACCACACGTAGTGTTGTCTCAAGGTTGTGTTGACCAATCCTCCCTGTTCCTCCTACCTTCAGTTTTATCCATTAATATCTCTATTCTCTATCATTATCCTCTCACTTCTAATTATTTTTCACATTTATTACTTTATAAATATATTTCCATACATAATTCTATAACCAAACTATCTAAATAAAATATATTAAGCAGTTTATCAATTTACTCATCCCTACATAAATTATCAAAAGACAAAAATATATTTAAAAATTATACGTTTTGAATGCTGCCTCCCCCCTACACATAACAAACGCTTATGCATTCATGAACGCCTACATATTTATCTAAGTCATTTCCTTATCTATTTATCAATCATATGGACTCAAACACTCATAAAAAAATTATTTTAATATACTTGTAACAATAGAGGTAAAACACACACACACACACACACTTGGTTATCGTATTTCTAAGAACGAAATCACTGTGGTTATCTCCGCCCCTCTGATAACTGTTATCATATCACATCACAGCTAGATTCACACACTACTAAGTCTAACATACCTTGAACCTACGACCCTATTATTATTATTATTATTATTATTATTATTATTATTATTATTATTATTATTAGGCTAGTAGTAGTAGTAGTAGTAGTAGTAGTAGTATCATCTTTATTATCTATATCTCTATCATAGTATTTCCATTTAAACAGACAAAAACACATATGTAAATAAACTTAATAAATTAAAAAACAAACTCAATAATTTTGACTCTGAATTGACAAATGATACCGAACCACCAAACCCTCAAACCCTCAAATCCCCAAACCCCTAAAGTTAACAAAGAGCAGTTGATCTAAATAATGGGCCGTAATGTGTGTAATAACTGATGGTATTAATATTAATTATGATTATTATTATCCACAGACGAGAAACTGTACAGAAATTCAGCTGGACTTGGAAGATATGAGTGTTGTGATGCATAGAGGAATAATTTACCAATATCTCCCAAACAAAAGTGTATTATTGTAAGTCCTCTTGTGTGCTGACTATAATAATAACATTGAATATGATTATATTAGAGTATAATATAAATCAGGTGCAATAAGTTCTACATATGGGTCTCTTATATGAATCATGGGTTCGGTATTGGGTTTCAGATATGACGTAATTTTGACATGACGTCATCACCAGGCTCTACGGGGGTCGCCTTATCAAATATAAAAATTTGAGAAATAAGGAGAATTAATCCTTCTACATAGGAAATAAAGAAGGTAAAAACTAATATATCCCTTTTGTTAGAATCTGGATGCGTAAGATTCTTTTAGCTCCGAGAACCAGAAGTTAGCATCCCCAAGAAAAAACATTGTAGTTTAAAACAATCCGCCAGGTGTCAGCACGTTACGGACTCCCAATTTAGAGTTGTTAAAATAAAACCACGAACAAAAACGTAAACCGATATTACTATTCCTAATTTAAAGTAGACAATTATAACCATTAAAACAGTGCGTAAATATTTATACCGAAGGGTTGTAATTCTGTAAAGTTAAATAGTTTTATCTATGTGTTTAACTTTATACCAATTCTTATCTAGTGTTCGTAAAATTCAGCCAACATTAATCAACTTGTTGATGTGATTTTAAGTGAATAAGTTTATATCGAGTATATTTCTTTGGTTTAATTTTATTGTTCATGTCTTTACTGTGTGTTGAATGTTGTGTTTGTGTGTGTGTGTAATTTCAGCCTTTTTTTATGCCACTTTTGAGATTTATCTATCGAAAAACCGCATAGACCTGACACGCACACGCACGCTCACCCCTACAGCGTACTATTAATATTTATATGATTAAATATAATTTTTATCTCATTTGTTGAATATATATTTTAACTTAAACAAAAGAGCAAGCAATATTTTTTATTCAATATCTCATATAAAGTTTGTTCAGCCGCGTTGGACACAAGAGCATTGTTTAGAAAATTACCACGAACATGCCAAGAAATCATTATTGTATTATCTTTTATGATCAATTAACCTTAACATGACCTGAGATAATTCGATTAATCAAATAATTATATAATATTCATGATTAGTTTATATAAGTTATTATTTTCCATATGAAGACTAAAGTATTTAAATAGTTCAGGGTAAGATGACAACATTGGCCACCTGGCGTGAGTGTTTGTTTATGTGGCAGACGACGCCAGACTGAGCTGTCACCCCCACACTATTTTGTGAGTGTTCACGCCATCTTCTCCCTTATTCTTCCATTATCTCTCAAAATTCCAGTATATATCACCTTTAAGTACAATTTAAACGAGTTTTAATTGAGTTTTAATTGACAATTGTGTTAAAAACGTCATTAAGTGTTGGGCTTCTGGTTTGTTTACGTATGGCTGTGTGGATCACGTGACTGAGACGAGGATTATGATTGGTTGATTTATCCTTATGACCCAAGTGAGGGCTGTGATTGGTTGGTTCATCCACGTGACTGGGTTAGTGGTCAGGTCATCTATGTTATCCGGGTGAGATGGGATGACCTGGTGACCCTTTTGTCTACCTACACTGTGTACGTTGTTTGTCTACCTACACTGTGTACGTTGTTTGTCTACCTACACTGTGTACGTTATTTTTCTACCTACACTGTGTATACATGAGGTTTGGTTAGGTTAAGATACATGAGGTTTGGTTAGGTTAAGATACATGAGGTTTGGTTAGGTTAAGATACATGAGGTTTGGTTAGGTTAAGATACATGAGGTTTGGTTAGGTTAGGATACATTAGGTTTGGTTAAGATACATTAGGTTAGGATAAATTAGTTAAGGTTGTTACATTAGGTTAGGATAGGATACATTAGGTTAGGTTAGGGTGGTTAATCATCAGGTAAAATAAGCAGAGGCAAAGGTTCTTCAGGTGAACACAGTATAAAAATTATCAAGTTTATGCCCCACTCTACAAAATATTTCAAGACCACAAGAAAAATCAAATATCGACAGAATATTCGCATCTTTTCTCACATTACTGTAGTTAAAGAAGGAAAACTAACAAGACAAATATTCTCAATACTAACAAGCTTATGGGGCAGTACAGTGCACTCACAGAATCCATTGTACTTTACACACACACACTCACACATTAATAACCAATGATAAACACAAATTGGTTTTATAATGAACGAAAAATATTACCTACATTACAGTTCATTTAGCCAGTTCAATTTAACG